GAGAGACACTGGGGAGAGACACTTGGGAGAGACACTGGGGAGGGACACTGCGGAGAGACACTGGGGAGAGACACTGGGGAGAGACACTGGGGAGAGACACTGGGGAGAGACACTGGGGAGAGACACTGGGGAGAGACGCGCGGAGAGACACTGGGGAGAGACACTGGGGAGAGACATTGGGGAGAGACACTGGGGAGAGACACTGGGGAGAGACACTGGGGAGGGACACTGGGGAGAGACACTGGGGAGGGACACTGGGGAGAGACACTGCGGAGAGACACTGGGGAGGGACACTGCGGAGAGACACTGGGGAGAGACACTGGGGAGAGACACTGGGGAGAGACACTGGGGAGAGGCACTGGGGAGAGACACTGGGGAGAGACACTGGGGAGGGACACTGGGGAGAGACACTGGGGAGAGACACTGGGGAGAGACACTGGGGAGAGGCACTGGGGAGAGACACTGGGGAGGGACACTGGGGAGGGACACTGGGGAGAGACACTGGGGAGAGACACTGGGGAGAGACACTGGGGAGAGACACTGGGGAGAGACACTGGGGAGGGACACTGGGGAGAGACACTGGGGAGAGACACTGGGGAGAGACACTGGGGAGGGACACTGGGGAGAGACACTGGGGAGAGACACTTGGGAGAGACACTGGGGAGAGACACTGGGGAGAGACACTGGGGAGAGACACTTGGGAGAGACACTGGGGAGGGACACTGCGGAGAGACACTGCGGAGAGACACTGGGGAGAGACACTGGGGAGAGACACTGGGGAGAGACACTGGGGAGAGACACTGGGGAGAGACACTGGGGAGAGACGCGCGGAGAGACACTGGGGAGAGACACTGGGGAGAGACACTGGGGAGAGACACTGGGGAGAGACACTGGGGAGGGACACTGGGGAGAGACACTGGGGAGGGACACTGGGGAGAGACACTGCGGAGAGACACTGGGGAGGGACACTGCGGAGAGACACTGGGGAGAGACACTGGGGAGAGACACTGGGGAGAGACACTGGGGAGAGGCACTGGGGAGAGACACTGGGGAGAGACACTGGGGAGGGACACTGGGGAGAGACACTGGGGAGAGACACTGGGGAGAGACACTGGGGAGAGACACTGGGGAGAGACACTGGGGAGAGACACTGGGGAGAGACACTGGGGAGGGACACTGGGGAGAGACACTGGGGAGAGACACTGGGGAGAGACACTGGGGAGAGACACTGGGGAGAGACACTGGGGAGAGACACTGGGGAGGGACACTGGGGAGGGACACTGGGGAGAGACACTGGGGAGAGACACTGGGGAGAGACACTGGGGAGAGACACTGCGAAGAGACACTGCGGAGAGACACTGGGGAGAGACACTGGGGAGAGACACTGCGGAGAGACACTGGGGAGAGACACTGGGGAGAGGCGCTGCGGAGAGACGTGCGGAGAGACACTGGGGAGAGGCACTGGGGAGAGACGCTGTGGAGAGACGCTGGGGAGAGACGCTGTGGAGAGACACTGGGGAGAGACGCTGCGGAGAGACACTGCGAAGAGACACTGGGGAGAGACACTGGGGAGAGATACTGGGGAGAGACACTGGGGAGAGACACTGCGGAGGGACACTGCGGAGAGACGCTGCGGAGAGACACTGCGAACAGACACTGGGGAGAGACGCTGGGGAGAGACGCTGGGGAGAGACGCTGGGGAGAGACACTGGGGAGAGGCGCGCGGAGAGATGTGTGGAGGGAGACGCTGCAGGGAGATGCGTGGAGAGACACGTGTTGAGAGTGGCGAGGAAAGCGAGCAGGCTCGGGCGCAGGGCACGGTTGTGGATGGGGCGGACCACGACGGCGGTGGTGGCTTTGGTGGCGGTGGTGGCGGTGGTGGCGGTGGTGGCGGTGGTGGCGGTGGTGGCGGTGGTGGCGGTGGTGGCGGTGGTGGCGGTGGTGGCGGTGGTGGCGGTGGTGGCGGTGGTGGCGGTGGTGGCGGTGGTGGCGGTGGTGGCGGTGGTGGCGGTGGTGGCGGTGGTGGCGGTGGTGGCGGTGGTGGCGGTGGTGGCGGTGGTGGCGGTGGTGGCGGTGGTGGCGGTGGTGGCGGTGGTGGCGGTGGTGGCGGTGGTGGCGGTGGTGGCGGTGGTGGCGGTGGTGGCGGTGGTGGCGGTGGTGGCGGTGGTGGCGGTGGTGGCGGTGGTGGCGGTGGTGGCGGTGGTGGCGGTGGTGGCGGTGGTGGCGGTGGTGGCGGTGGTGGCGGTGGTGGCGGTGGTGGCGGTGGTGGCGGTGGTGGCGGTGGTGGCGGTGGTGGCGGTGGTGGCGGTGGTGGCGGTGGTGGCGGTGGTGGCGGTGGTGGCGGTGGTGGCGGTGGTGGCGGTGGTGGCGGTGGTGGCGGTGGTGGCGGTGGTGGCGGTGGTGGCGGTGGTGGCGGTGGTGGCGGTGGTGGCGGTGGTGGCGGTGGTGGCGGTGGTGGCGGTGGTGGCGGTGGTGGCGGTGGTGGCGGTGGTGGCGGTGGTGGCGGTGGTGGCGGTGGTGGCGGTGGTGGCGGTGGTGGCGGTGGTGGCGGTGGTGGCGGTGGTGGCGGTGGTGGCGGTGGTGGCGGTGGTGGCGGTGGTGGCGGTGGTGGCGGTGGTGGCGGTGGTGGCGGTGGTGGCGGTGGTGGCGGTGGTGGCGGTGATGATTACCGACGCGCGGCAGCCGAAGGAGGGAACACGCCTGAGAGGATCACCGCCACGGAGATGGAGCGACGAGATGGGGTGAGTGAGATGGAGCGACGAGATGGGGTGAGTGAGATGGGGTGAGTGAGATGGGGTGAGTGAGATGGGGTGAGTGAGATGGGGTGAGTGAGATGGGGTGAGTGAGATGGGGTGAGTGAGATGGGGTGAGTGAGATGGGGTGAGTGAGATGGGGTGAGTGAGATGGGGTGAGTGAGATGGGGTGAGTGAGATGGGGTGAGTGAGATGGGGGTGAGTGAGATGGGGGTGAGTGAGATGGGGTGAGTGAGATGGGGTGAGTGAGATGGGGTGAGTGAGATGGGGTGAGTGAGATGGGGTGAGTGAGATGGGGTGAGTGAGATGGGGTGAGTGAGATGGGGTGAGTGAGATGGGGTGAGTGAGATGGGGTGAGTGAGATGGGGTGAGTGAGATGGGGTGAGTGAGATGGGGTGAGTGAGATGGGGTGAGTGAGATGGGGTGAGTGAGATGGGGTGAGTGAGATGGGGTGAGTGAGATGGGGTGAGTGAGATGGGGTGAGTGAGATGGGGTGAGTGAGATGGGGTGAGTGAGATGGGGTGAGTGAGATGGGGTGAGTGAGATGGGGTGAGTGAGATGGGGTGAGTGAGATGGGGTGAGTGAGATGGGGTGAGTGAGATGGGGTGAGTGAGATGGGGTGAGTGAGATGGGGTGAGTGAGATGGGGTGAGTGAGATGGGGTGGGTGAGATGGGGTGGGTGAGATGGGGTGGGTGAGATGGGGTGGGTGAGATAGGGTGAGTGAGATGGAGCGACGAGATGGGGTGAGTGAGATGGGGTGAGTGAGATGGGGTGAGTGAGATGGGGTGAGTGAGATGGGGTGAGTGAGTTGGGGTGAGTGAGATGGGGTGAGTGAGATGGGGTGAGTGAGATGGGGTGAGTGAGATGGGGTGAGTGAGATGGGGTGAGTGAGATGGGGTGAGTGAGATGGGGTGAGTGAGATGGGGTGAGTGAGATGGGGTGAGTGAGATGGGGTGAGTGAGATGGGGTGGGTGAGATGGAGCAACGAGATGGGGTGAGTGAGATGGGGTGAGTGAGATGGGGTGAGTGAGATGGGGTGAGTGAGATGGGGTGAGTGAGATGGGGTGAGTGAGATGGGGTGAGTGAGATGTGTGCGTGCGCAGGCGCGAGAGACGGATCGTGGCATCGCAGGACAATAGCGTGTTTGGGAGGGCTCCATCCAGCAGTGGATAGACCGTGGCCCCTCGATGACGTCGACGAAGCGATGGAGCGATGAAGCGACCGAACCGGCGGAACACGCAAACGGCGTCGCAGGGACGGTGATTGATGGCACGACATGGAGGGAGGTGGGGGGTGGTGGGTAGGATGGGGCAGAGGGAGTTCCCTTCACGCAGCAGTGGATAGACCACGGCTCATAACGATGGCAGCGATGGTACAGTCCTGGAACCAGCGCCGGCGGGGCGCCTCCCCCCGCCCCCCTCCCTAAAACGTCTCCGATCAGCGCGGTTGGATACGTGCGGTGCGAACTGAAGTTCAACACGCGAATGTTACGTGGACAGTCACAGCGAGAGGAGCCCCCCCCCCCTCTCCCAACCGCCCCCGGCCCCCCACCCCTTTTCACAAAGACCCGCAAGGCAAATGCGAGATCGGTGGCGGGGTCGCTAATTTGTCCGGATTCTTTGTGGGGGTTTTACGTGCCGGGCGGCCACGTGTTGCTCGACCTCCCCGCACCACCACCACCACCACCACCACCCCCCCTCGCTATTTCCGGGGCGCCTCGTCCCGTGTGGCTACCCCCCCCCCCCCCCGACGAGCGGCAGCTGCAGCGGGCCCACAGGTCCCTCTCTGCTCGCCGCCTCCCCCCCACGGCAGCTTTCAACGTGACGCGGACGGCGCTTCCCGCTCGGGAGCGGCCGCCCCAGCCGCAGAAATCCGCGACGGACCTGCGGGGCCCCGAGTCGCGTGCACGTTTTATTTTCCCGTTTCATTTGATGACTTTGGAGTTTTTTTTCTTAATTGCTCGCAGCGGCGAGCGCGGCGAGCGCGGCGAGCGCGGCGCGTGTCTCCCCCGGGGCCCGTGGGGGGGTTTGTCGAGCGACCGACGGCTTCGGTTCGGATGGACGGCAAAGTCACTTTTCATCGCGGGGCTCCCGGGGGACATGCGCGGCACGCGCCGGTGGCCTTCAGCGCAGCCCCCGCCTGACGCGCGGCCCCACCGCCCTTCCCGACAAATCGACAAAATGTGAGACCCCCCCCCACCCACATCATCATCATCATCGTGCTGCTGCTGTTGTTGTCAACCCCCCCCCCGCCCGCCCGCACCCCGACGGATTTCCTAATGCGTGGTGGCCCCTCACACACTGGTGGTGACACATTGGCAGTGCCCCCCTAACAGATCCCCTGGCCGGAAAAATTAGCGAAGAATGCGAACGTAGAGCGGCGACGGCGCGTATCGAGCCCCCCACCCCACAACCCCCACCCCCCCCCCCCCCCAAAACGCCCCTCGTGCTGCCTGCGCCCGAGGGGGGTCAGCGGGGGGGGGGGGCGGCCGCATGGCCACCAGAGAGTCCGACCGCGTCTCTCCTCGCTCGGCATCTCCCAATTTATTTTTCGTCATCTTTATTTAATAAAAAAAAAATCCCCCCCCCCCCAATATTCCAATCGCCGCCCCAGTCCAACGCGTAGTCGTCGTAGCAGTAGTGAGTCGTCCTGCTCGCGCGACCAATGTTAATCACGATGGAGGGTGGTTAGTTTTTGCTATTGTTGTTGTTGGTTCGAGCGCGTAAATGTCAACGTGCGGCGGGTTTTCAACGCCGCCGCCGCCGCCGTCACCCGACGCGGCCAATCAGCGAGGTTTGTGTCACGTAAACAGAACGTGCCAATTCGTCACTAGCGTCAGCACACGCCGGTTGTGTGTTTGGAGAGTAAACCCACGGCGTTTACAATTTGAGCCTAACGACGTTTCGCTGGCGATCACAACAACCAGCTTCATCGGGCGAATTTGCCCATACCACTGCACCTCCGATTAACACGGTTGGCTACGTACGGTGCGAAAGAAGTTCAACGTACATACATAGAATCTTTCCTTCCCCGGCACCTCGGATTAGCATGGTTGGCTATGTACGGTGCGAAAGAAGTTCGAGAAACGTGCGTACAATCTTTCCATTCCCCCGCACCTGGGATTAACATGGTTGGCTACATACGGCGTGAAAGAGGTTGAACTTATAAAACATTACCAGGTGGCCATCGTCTGGCCACCGTTCTCTTCGCCGGCCGGCGACCCGCGGGCCTCCCGTAAAAGTGTCGACGATGAGTCGCGGGCGAACTGCCCTGCGACCGTTTGGGTCGCCGAATCAGGGACAGTAACGCGCCGGATACATACACGCACACACACACACGCGCACGCAGGGCGCTTCAAAAAAATGTTAACACTTACATGTGACTATCGTTTTGAAATGGAACAAGAACGGACAATACAATGTAACACGAGAACAAATGTGATGTTAATAGCGCCACAGAGTCAAAGAGTCTCCCGCTTGTTCGCCGTCATCGTCAACGCGTGCCCGGAACCGTCTCCAGGTGCTCTCCAGGCAAGCAGACATTTCTCACGGAATTGTGCAGATTCTCCGAAGTGTTGAACGATTTTTCGTGAAAGCACCCTGCGTATGTGTGGTGCGATTCTCAGTGGGCAACTGCGAAACGAGATACAAAATCAATATTGCTTTAAAGCGAAGCCATCCTCCTCATTCGCGCGCGCTAAAACAACGACGGATACTCAGTGTGCAGGACTCGGGATTTCTCCCCTCGCCCACCACCTCCCTCCCAGCGATGCCTTTCTCCATCAGAAAGGCATTATTGGGGGGGCCTTCATCCAGCAGTGGATCGAGATTGACCGCGGCCGCCGCCGCCGCCGACGAAGACGACGGGAGGCGTGCGAGCGGACGCGGTCGCGCGGCCGGCGTCTAAAGTCGCGTGCTCTGCTTCTGCTTCTTCTCCACCTTGGCGATCAGCAGACGCACGCCGTCTCCGCTCGACCGGATCATGTCCATGGCGCTGCAACGGCAAACGGTCGCGATCGGGGAAATTCGGTCGCGATCGACGGTGACGGTGGTGACGGCGGTGATGGCGGTGACGGCGGTGACGGCGGTGGCGGCAGCGGCGGTGACGATGGTGGCGTTGACAGTGGTGACAGAGGCGGTGGTGACGGCTGTGATGGTGGTCGCGGTGGCGGCCACGCACGTGGCCTGTGACCCCTTGTGTCGGGATGTTAGGGGCGCCGCGGTGGCTAGGAGATGTTAACTACCTCGCCCGGTATACAGGAGGTCGTGAGTTCAATCCCGACCCTGACGCCTGCTGCTGTATATTTTGAGTTTGCGTGTCTCTCTCTCTCTCTCCCCGTGGTCACGTGGATTTTTTCTCCGGGTCCTCCGGTCGGAGCATTTGGCCGCTGCTGTAAGTTTCCCACTTGGTCCAGCCATCATTTGTCATACCCAGGTCATTTCTGAAAGAAGAACTACACGGGCCTTGCCCGGCAAAAATGTTAATAGTTTGTAGCACGTGTGTGGCCGCGCCGCGGTTCCAGAACCGCCCCCCGACCGTCGCGTCCCCCGTGCTGACGGCCCAGGAATGTCCTCCGGCTAAAATAAACCCTTCACTGAAAATGCGGCAGCCGGGGAGGAGGGGGGCGGGGGGGGGGGCTGCCACAGACTCACCTCGTGTGGGGGGGGGGGTGGGGGGAGGCTGTTTCAGATTGCGGTCTCCTACGAGAGCCGATGGACAGAGCCCGGCTTGAACCGCGCGGGCTGCCGGCTCCCCTCGACTACGGTTTAAGCGCAACTCAGTGTCTGTGTGAGTCTGTGGGTCTCTGTGTGAGTATGTGGGTCTCTGTGCGAGTCTGTGGGTCTCTGTGTGAGTCTGTGGGTCTCTGTGTGAGTCTGTTGAGTCGCTGTGTGAGTCTGTGGGTCTCTGTGTGAGTCTGTGGGTCTCTGTGTGAGTCTGTGGGTCTCTGTGTGAGCCTGTGGGTCTCTGTGTGAGTCTGTGGGTCTCTGTGTGAGACTGTGGGTTGCTGTGTGAGTCTGTGGGTTTCTGTGTCTGTGGGTCGCTGTGTGAGTCTGTGGGTCTCTGTGTGAGTCTGTGGGTCTCTGTGTGAGTCTGTGGGTCTCTGTGTGAGTCTGTGGGTCTCTGTGTGAGTCTGTGGGTCTCTGTGTGAGTCTGTGGGTCTCTGTCTGTGGGTCGCTGTGTGAGTATGTGGGTCTCTGCGTGAGTCTGTGGGTCTCTGTGTGAGTCTGTGGGTCTCTGTGTCTGTGGGTCGCTGTGTGAGTATGTGGGTCTCTGTGTGAGTCTGTGGGTCTCTGTGTGAGTCTGTGGGTCTCTGTGTCTGTGGGTCGCTGTGTGAGTATGTGGGTCTCTGTGTGAGTCTGTGGGTCTCTGTGTGAGTCTGTGGGTCTCTGTGTCTGTGGGTCGCTGTGTGAGTCTGTGGGTCTCTCTATCTGTGGGTCGCTGCGTGAGTCTGTGGGTCTCTGTGCGAGTCTGTGGGTCTCTGTGTGAGTCTGTGGGTCTCTGTGTCTGTGGGTCGCTGTGTGAGTCTGTGGGTCTCTCTATCTGTGGGTCGCTGCGTGAGTCTGTGGGTCTCTGTGCGAGTCTGTGGGTGTGTGGAAGTGGTGAGTGCGCGGGAGTGGTGAGGAGCGTGCGGATGCGGTGGCGGTGCGGCCACCTCTGGTAGTCCACGCCGGCCAGGGTGGTGCCGTTGACGGCCAGGATCCTGTCGCCGGCGCTGAGCCGCCTGCATCGTGCCGCGGGGGTGTCGGGCACCAGCGTCTTGATGTAGATCCCCGGCACGCGCAGGCGCGTGTACTGCGCGGGGCAGGAGACAGAAGCACGGCACACACCCAGCGTGGCTCTCCAAATGCACTTCAGGGGCACCGCGTGCAAACTCCTGTCATTGAGCGCATAGCGAGATGTTTATCGCTATGCGAGATGTTTATCGGAGTTTATCGGAGTTTGCGTGTCTCTCTGTGCTGAGATGTTAACTACCTCGCCTGGTAGGCAGGAGGTTGTGGGTTCGGTCCCGACCCTGACGCCTGATGCTGTATATTTGGAGTTTGCGTGTCTCTCTCTCTGCCCGTGGTCGCGTGGATTTTACTCCGGATGCTCCGGTTTTTCCCTCCAAATTTAGAATCAACGTCACCACGTTTCGAGTATTTGGCTGCTCTTAATGTCCACGTGATGATGATAAGCCACTTCGTTGAGTGATCATTTGTGGCCAGGTCGCTTCTGAAAAAGAGCTACGTAGCTCAGTGGGTCCTACCTCGGACAATAAAAAAAAATTGTTTAGCCTGATCTGTATATTTTACCAAGTGATTTGTTTACCTTCATCATATTCTTTGGGCCTTTCGGTAAAATCGCGTAGATGGATTCAAAGAAAATAACAAAAAAATTACAAAAAAACTACGACGTTTCGATCGCAACACAAGCGATCGTCATCTATGTGACTTTACCTAAAGACCCAAAGAATATGAATTCCTGCGGTCACGAAATCTTTAAGTCAACATTTACCTTCATCATGTTTCTGTATTATTGTTGTAACGTTCTCACCTGTCCCCGACTGTAAATCTGTGCGCTCAAAACAAGTTGCTTATCGCGTGCAAATACGTTGCGGCAAAATCATCTCAATAACGCACGTTTCTCAATGCAAGCCCACGACCTCCTGCACACCAGGCGAGGGAGTTAACATCCCCTAGCCACCGCAGGGAGAGGGCATCACCGAGCGACGGACGTTTGGAGAAACTTACCATGCCGTCGATGAGTCCCATCCCAAGCCCCTTCTGGCCTTTGCTGAGCTCCACCACGAACACCTCGTCATCGCCCTCCTCCTCCTCCTCGTCGTGAGACCGCACGGCCGGCGAGGCGGTGGTGACCTCCGTGCCCTTGGCGCCGTCGCAGCCGCCGCCTGGCAGACGGCGCCGGGAGTCAACGCGGGGAACCGACGGGGCGCCCCTCGATCCCCGGCGACTCGGCGGAGCGAGATCGGCGCCCCCCCCCCCCCCCGCCCCCCCCGAGAGTTCGCGCGCCGATGCGGGGAAAAAAAAGCGTCGCGCTTTGGACACCGCGGGGGAAGTTCAACCGGGGCGCGGTGCGCTTTCAGAAACGCTTCCGCGGCCGTCTGGAACGCGCTGTTTCCTTCGCGGCGTTAGGAAGCCGCTGGCTGCTACGCGCTTTAAGATCGTCATCCAGGTCGACGAACTCATTTCTCCGCGACTGCTTTTTGTGCCATAGTTAGTTGTCCTTCCCCCCCCTCCCGCCCCGCGCACCTCCGATGAGCGCGGCCGGCCACGTACGTTGAGAAAGAGCTTCAACGTGCGAGCGTACGGCAGGCGAGAGTCCGTTTCGCCAGCCACCCCCCCCCCCCCCCCCCGACGCCGCAACGAGTTGCTGCGCTTCACCCCGAGCGGCAGCCGGCGGGGGACGCCCCGCCCCCCCCCGAGGGTTTTTCGACCGACGCGGAGATGGAGCGACGAGATTGGCCGGCGCGCGGCAGCGGGACGGCCGCCTTTTAAATCGTCTCCGTTGAAGACCCGCTTCCTGACCACTGGCACGGCCGGCCACGCACGGCGCGAAAGAAGTTCAGCGTGCGTACGTACGCACACACACACACACACCCCCCCTCGCCCCCACCGCGGAGGACGGTCCGTTGAAGCGGACGCCGCAGAGCTCACCTCCGAGATCCCTTCCAGCCAAGGCCGTAATTATAGTAAATATTGGGGGGGGGGGACACATGCCCTCCAATAATCAAATATGCTCAAAATGTCCCCCCCCCCAATATATTGCTATATAAAAGCAACAATTTGCTAAACCTTGGCTGCAATATCTGGACTTGTCTTCATATAACAAAGCAAACATTTATGTTTATATGATTATGTTTATGGTTGTACTTTATGCATCCCTAATCTCTGCCATTACATACAATGAAACAAGAAGAGGTAAAAATTGAAAAAAACAGAGCAATGTAATACAATAACACTATTAGAAATTATTGTAAAAAATAAATAAATAGTCCATCCCACGTGTTAGTGCATTTTTAAAATATTTTAGGCATAGAATTTTATTGTTTTATTATTTTATTCTCATTCCACGTGACTTAACCAAAGAAGAGGAAATGAGTTTTCAAATTTAGATATTTTTCTGATTGGGGGGACCCCCAGACCCCCTGGAAGATTTGGTCCCCCCCACCCAATGTTGACTCCATGGCTACGGCCTTGCTTCCAGCGATGCCCACAGGCGCACAGGAACGCGGGCGAGAGGGGGGGGAGGGGCGGCACCTTCCCCCCCCCCCCCCGTTCGTCGTGCCGGGGATCGAACGCCGCTGACGGGGGGAGGGGGGGAGGGAGGGGAGCGAGGAGGAACCCCCACGGGAGGGGGACGACGCCGCGTCCCGACGGACCGGGTGGTGGGGGTCCTGCCAGGTTCTCGCAGCAGGGGGCGCTGTTGCTGTTGCTGCTGCTGCTGTTTCCCTGTGATTTCCAATTTTTGAGTCATTCGCGCAAGGCGAATTTTTGCGGCGTTTGATTTTGTCCAAAACCGGTAAACATCGCACGCCGTTTTAATTTTTGTTCGCCAGCTCTGGGAGGGAAAGCGGAGAACGCCGAGGAGAACCCACGCAGAGCTGGCGGAGAGAAAAACTCCCGCACGGCGGCACATGGAGAGAGGGCGACCCCGGTCGGGGATCGAACCCTCGGAGGCCGCTGTGAGGAGCGAGCGCCACCGCTGTAGCGCGGTGGCTAGGAGATGTTAACTCCCTCGCCCGGTATGCAGGAGGTCGTGGGTTCGATCCCGACCCTGACGCCTGCTGCTGCTGTATATTTGGAGTTTGCGTGTCTCTCTCTCATCACCACGGTGGCTAGGAGATGTTAACTCCCTCGCCCGGTATGCAGGAGGCCGTGGGTTCGATCCTGCCGCTGACGCCTGCTGCTGCTGTATATTTGGAGTTTGCGTGTCTCTCTCTCATCATCATCACGGTGGCTAGGAGATGTTAACTCCCTCGCCCGGTATGCAGGAGGCCGTGGGTTCGATCCTGCCGCTGACGCCTGCTGCTGTATATTTGGAGTTTGCGTGTCTCTCTCTCATCATCATCATCACGGTGGCTATGAGATGTTAACTCCCTCGCCCGGTATGCAGGAGGCCGTGGGTTCGATCCTGCTGCTGACGCCTGCTGCTGTATATTTGGAGTTTGCGTGTCTCTCTCTCATCATCATCATCACGGTGGCTAGGAGATGTTAACTCCCTCGCCCGGTATGCAGGAGGCCGTGGGTTCGATCCCGCCGCTGATGCCTGCTGCTGTATATTTAGATCATGGGACCTCCCTTGGCAGTATCAAAATCACGAGAATAGGTTTTAGCCTTTCTGGCCATAAAACAGAAGGTGTTAAGATGTTAAAACACCAAACTGAAACCTTTTGCAAGGAAACATGTCACTGCGTTCAGCACACATACATACTTGTGGTGAATGTGCAAATAAAAAACATTATCTGGCAGTATGTGATGATGCATTGTCTTTGAAACTGATTGGTCCACACGAGAGACAGCTTTCTTTAGAGCTCGGTCTCAAACAGTGTTTTTTGCACGTGGTTAATGCAGACACAATTCCTCGCAAAAGGTTTCAGTTTGGTGTTTTAATATCTTAACAGCTGTTTTATTGCCAGACAGGGTAACACCTATTCTTATATGTCTATCTGGAGGTTTGCGGTGTCCCTCTCTCTCTCTCTCTCCCCGTGGTCGCGAGGATTTTTCTCCAGCTCCTCCGGTCTTTCCCCCTCCGCATGTCAGAATAAAGATTGCGCGTTCAGCGTATTTGGCTGCCGCTCTACGTGATGGCGACGATAAGCCCGCTTCGTCGGGTTTTCAATTTGCGATCGCCAGGATACGCTTCTGGGAAAAGAGCTACGCAGCAGCAGCAGCTCAGCGGGGCCTTACCTGGTAAAGTTAAAAAGTGGTTTTTAGTTTGGGCACTTTGCCCCAGCAGTCGATGTTTTAGACCGCGCCAGTCTCATGCCAGCGGAGGCTTCCTCACTGCACCGGCGTGCCGGGCGGGTTGATTTATTATTTTGCCACGACAAGTTCCCCCCCCCACCCCCCCCGACACAATGGGGGCTCGGTAAAAAACGTAGCCCGGGCCCTCACCAACTAAGACCGCCGGCGCAACTCCGTGTTGTCGGGTTTTCTGTCCTCCCGGTAGTCCGCTCGTAGGGTGCGCCGCCAGTGAAGCGTCCGCTGCCAAGGCGCGCGTGCGGGCACGTCGTGTGATGAAGCGGCACGGTGGGTTAATGTTTTTTTTTTAAATGAAAAACAACTTCGGTCCTGACGACGACGACGATGGGCGAAGGTCGGAAAGCTGAGACGGAGTTCGCAGGAAGTGGCAAACAAACTGCCCCCGTCGCGCAAGACCCAGCGAGGCCGAGGAAGACGAAGGCCCCCCCCCCCCCGGCTCCAATCTATTCGCCCCGAAGCTTCTTCTGGGGCCACAACTCCTCAACCGCGTCCACTACTGCAGGCAGCAGCAGCAGCTGATGCGGTTACTTGACGACGATGACGACGACGACGATGATGATGATTTACTAACGGGAAGTTACAAACTCTTCGGTCAACGTGCGGCAAACTGCGCTCACCAGTTGCTGAACGAATTGTCCGGTTGCCGGAAGAATTCGCCGTGAGGTCGCACTCGTTACACGCAAGGTGCTCGCCACGAATGAACCACGATCACCTCGATGATGACTTCGTCGAGGAGCTATGAAGCATCATAATCACGCGACGCTCCGCTCATCCTCGCAGCAGCAGCAGCAGCGGATTTTGGCTGCTCAGCCGTCGAACACCGCATCGTCGCGCGGCGCTTTCAAATGCGCCGTCTGGAACGCTCTTCCGATATTAGGAAGCCACTGGAGCTGTGCACTTTTAAATCATCATCGCCTAGATTGACGAACTAACTTGTTTAGAACTGCTGGTTGTTGTGTTTAGTGTTTGTTGTCCTTCCCCCGCACCGCCGATTAGCGCGGTTGGCCACGTACGGTGCGAAAGAAGTTCAGCGGACGTGCGTGCGTACGAGTCTGTGCAAAAAAGAGCTTCATGGCTCATCGGATTCCTCCGGCGCAAACAAAGATCCTGACGCTGATATCGGCGGTTCAGCAGGGCCGAACGGCGGAACGCGCAGCGACTCAGTGCCTGGAGAAAATTCACAATCACGGTGGAGACGGAGGAGGAGGAGGAGCAGCGACGCGCTCCACCGCTGCGGGCGCAAAAATCATCCGGGCTCACGAGAGCACGACAGCAAATTCCCCCGCTCCCACCCTCCCACCGGGGATCACACCGCATTGCGCCGGTGTGCACGACGAACTTCAATGCCCGGCACGAGCCCCCAAAGCACGCCGGCGCATTTACGTACGGAGAGAAGCGGCCGCCGGCAGGCGCTCCAAGCAAATCGTGAATAATAGCAAGACTCAAAACTCCGGCGTGCTCATCGCAGCGCGGGCACCCCCCCCCCCCCCAGCACCACCCCGTCACCGCCGCCCCCCCCCCCCCAAGTGTCACTGTCGCTCCCCCCATCGTCTTCACCTCCACCGTTACCGCGGCCCCCCCCCCGCCGTCACCGCTACACCCCCCCCCCGCCCCCCACCATCGTCGTCACCGTCACCACAGCTGCCGTCTAATTTATCGCTCGACGTCTTTGTTGGGCGGCCCTCTCTGGAACGCGGCGGCCGCGCTCGGCGGCCCCGCGCCGTCATTCACGGCGTTCCTCTCGCGGGGGGACGGGGGGCAGGCGGGCGGGCGGGCGGGGGGGGGGGGGGGCGCTTTGAGAAGACCCCTTTGAGCCGCCGCGACTCGCGAAACGCCACTTCGCGTTTGCATTATCAAGAGGTTCATTATGGCAGCTGATTTATTGACGGGGCGAGTTGGTGGCTTTTGAAGGGTGGAGGAGCGGCCGCCGCCGCCGGAACGAAGCAACACTGGAGCGAAGCGCCGTTGGAGCGAAGCGCCGTTGGAGCGAAGCGCCGTTGGAGCGAAGCGCCGCTGGAGCGAAGCGCCGCTGGAGCGAAGCGCCATTGGAGCGAAGCGCCGTCGGAGCGAAGCGCCACGGGAGCGAAGCGCCGTCGGAGCGAAGCGCCGTTGGAGCGAAGCGCCATTGGAACGAAGCACCGTGGGAGCGAAGCGCTGTTGGAGCGAAGCGCCGCCGAAGCGAAGCGCCATGGGAGCGAAGCGCCGCCGGAGTGAAGCGCCGCTGGAGCGAAGCGCCACGGGAGCGAAGCGCCGTCGGAGCGAAGCGCTGTTGGAGCGAAGCGCCATGGGAGCGAAGCGCCGTTGGAACGAAGCGCCATTGGAACGAAGCACCGCTGGAGCGAAGCGCTGTTGGAGCGAAGCGCCGCCGAAGCGAAGCACCGCCATGGGAGCGAAGCGCCGCCGGAGCGAAGCGCCGCCGGAGCGAAGCGCCGCCGGAGCGAAGCGCCGCCGGAGCGAAGCGCCGCTCACCCAGCTCTCTCGCTCGCTCAGTTCCCCTTTTGTTGGCACGAGCGAAGTTTGGAGGAGCGTCTCGAGAGTTCCCCGAGCGCTCGCTGCCGTTAGTTTGACCGTACTTCACCGCGCCGGTCGGTGCGAGTTGGTGACGGTGGGGTGGGGGCGGGGGGGTGGGGGGGCGGGGGGGTGGGGGGGCTGCGCTGCTCGCTGCTCGCTGCTCCCTGCTGCCCACAGCGTAGCCTGCAGCACCTGCTTCAGGCGCCCCGCGGTCGCCCATCCGAGCAAACAGTGAATGCAAGCAAGACTCAAAACACCGGTGTGCTCCTCGCAGCGAGGGCACCCCCATCATCGTCACCGCCACTCCCCACCGTCACCACCTGCACCATCACCGCCGCCCCCCACCGTCACCACCTACACCATCACCGCTGCCCCCCCCACCAGATAATCTTCTGAACCGGTCCTGGGAGCATCAGCACTTCGCCGCAGGGGCTAAGAGATGTTAACTACCTCGCCTGGTATTGCAGGAGGTTGTGAGTTCGATCCCGACCCCAACCCTGACGCCTGCCGCTGTATATTTGGAGTCTGCGTGTCTCTCCCTCTCTCTCTCTCTCTCTCCCCGTGGTCACGTGGATTTCCCTCCCTGTGGTCCGCTGGTGGATTCCCTCCCACGTGTAGAATCGACGTCACCACGCTTTCGGAGTGATGTTTCTGCCGCTGTGAATTTCCACGCGACGAGGCGTAGAGCCCCACTCCGTCGAGCTGCTGTCGCCTGTGGGAGCCGGGTCGCTTTTGAAAAAAAGAGCTACACGGCTCAGTGGGGGCCCTTCCTTATCCAGCTGGGTACAGCAACAAAAAAAAACCCACCGAATATAGTTCTACAGTTTTAAGTTCAGTTCTAGCCACCGGTCGGTCGCTGCGCCCGGTCCACGGAGCCCCCCGGGAGGATGAGCGCCAGAGGCGTAAGTTCACGCCCGCGAGCCGCTGACATCGAGAGCGCAAGTCGCCCGTTGGCTCCGGGCTCCCGGGGCTCCGGTCGCGAGCGGGGCGACGGCGTCGCGCGACTTCGTCGGCCAGAAAGTACGGGGCCACAGACCTTGACGTGACCGTGCCACCACCCTGCCTGCCCCCCTCCCACTCCCCAGCGCCGTTCTCCCCCACCGTGCCCCCCCCCCCGCCCCCCCCGCCCCCCGCCGCCCCCCGCCGCCCCTGCCCACCCATCACTAGCCCGGCGCATTCCTCCGTAATCGCGCAGGATGCAGCCCTCGGCGCAAGCGGACCACTTCCTTACATTGTCTCGGACGGAGAATATACAGAAAAAAAGTGAGATGTAAGTAAATAAATAAAGGCTAGAGCCTGACCCCGCGAGGGGACCCACCGCCCTGGAGGGTGCCAACGTGGAAGCGGGGCCCCTCCCCTCCGTCGTCTGAAAAGATTCCTGCTGGGACCCCCCCCACCATCCCCCCCCCCACCACCCCCCCTGCCCCCCACCGTCCTTCTTCCCGCGGCCGCTTCCTCCCAAACCGGTAGCGAGCAGCCCCCACCACCACACCGCCCCCCCCCCCCCCCCCGAAACCCCCTCCCCACTCCCCCTTCCCGCCCCCCCAAAACCGCCTCCCCTGCACCCCCGCCCGCCCCCCCCCCACACCGCCCCCCCGCCCCCCCTCCCCGCCCGCCGCCGTCTCGTGCCGTGGCGGCGGCCGTCAGGGCGTGAATGGGGATCGCGCCGCGAGCTCGTGAATCAACCCGCAGAGCGCGAGAGCAGGAGAGAGGGGGAGGGGGAGAGGGGGAGAGAGAGGGAGAGGAGGAGAGAGGGAGAGGGGGAGAGAGGGGGAGAGAGGGAGAGGGGGAGAGAGGGGGAGAGAGGGAGAGGGGGAGAGAGGGGGAGAGAGGGAGAGAGGGAGAGGGGGAGAGGGGGGGAGGGGGGGAGAGGGAGAGGGGGAGAGAGGGAGAGAGGGAGAGGAGGAGAGAGGGGGAGAGAGGGAGAGGGGGAGAGAGGGAGAGAGAGTGAGAGGGGGAGAGAGGGAGAGAGGGAGAGGGGGAGAGGGGGAGAGAGGGAGAGAGGGGGAGGGGGGGAGAGGGAGAGAGAGTGAGAGGGGGAGAGAGGGAGAGGGGGAGAGGGGGAGAGAGGGAGAGAGGGGAGGGGGGGAGAGGGAGAGGGGGGAGAGAGCGAGAGCAGGAGAGAGGGGGAGGGGGGGAGAGGGGAGAGGGGGAGAGAGGGAGAGGAGGAGAGAGCAGGAGAGAGGGAGAGGGGGAGAGAGGGAGAGGGGGAGAGAGGGAGAGAGGGAGAGAGGGAGAGAGAGTGAGAGGGGGAGAGAGGGAGAGAGGGAGAGGGGGAGAGGGGAGAGAGGGAGAGAGGGAGAGAGGGAGAGAGGGAGAGAGGGAGAGAGGGAGAGAGAGGGAGAGAGGGAGAGGGGGAGAGGGGGAGAGAGGGGGAGGGGGAGAGAGAGCGAGGGGAGAGAGAGGGAGAGAGGGAGAGAGAGGGGGAGAGAGGGGGAGAGAGGGAGAGAGCAGGAGAGAGGGAGAGCAGGAGAGAGGGAGAGAGAGTGGGAGAGGGGGAGAGGGGGAGAGGGGGAGAGAGCGAGAGGGGGAGAGCGAGAGAGGGAGAGAGGGAGAGGGGGAGAGGGGGAGAGAGCGAGAGGGGAGAGAGGGAGAGGGGGAGAGGGGGAGAGAGCGAGAGGGGGAGAGGGGGAGAGGGGGAGAGGGGGAGAGAGCGAGAGGGGGAGAGAGGGAGAGGGGGAGAGAGGGAGAGAGCGAGAGAGCGAGAGGGGAGAGGGGGAGAGGGGGAGAGGGGGAGAGAGGGAGAGAGGGAGAGGGGGAGAGGGGGAGAGGGGGAGAGAGGGAGAGAGGGAGAGAGCGAGAGAGCGAGAGGGGGGAGAGGGGGAGAGAGGAGAGGGGGAGAGAGCGAGAGGGGGAGAGGGGGAGAGGGGGAGAGAGGGAGAGGGGGAGAGAGGGAGAGAGGGAGAGAGGGAGAGGGGAGAGAGGGAGAGAGCGAGAGGGGGAGAGGGGGAGAGAGGGAGAGGGGAGAGAGCGAGAGGGGGAGAGGGGGAGAGAGCGAGAGGGGAGAGGGGGAGAGGGGGAGAGAGCGAGAGGGGGAGAGGGGGAGAGAGGGAGAGGGGGAGAGGAGGAGAGAGCGAGAGGGGGAGAGGGGGAGAGAGCGAGAGGGGGAGAGAGGGAGGGAGAGAGAGTGGGAGAGAGGGAGGGAGGCGGAGAGGGAGAGAGAGAGGGAGAGAGGGAGAGAGGGAGAGTGGGAGAGTGGGGGACAGGGAGAGTGGGAGCGAGAGTGGGGGGTGAGAGGGAATGGGAGATAAATCTTTAATTTTAAGGGGGGGGGCACATAAAGCAAAGCATTGAAAAAAACCCCGAAATGATGAACGAAGCAAAGTGCCGACTACACCAAGCATCTTCTTGTTTCCTCTGATCGTAAAAAAGAGAGAGAGGTGGGGGAGGGATGGAAAGAGGGAGAGAAGGATCGAGGGAGAGAGGGAGGGAGCGAGCGAGCGAGGAGGGAGGGAGCGAGGGCTTAGTAAACTTCGTTCCAAGAGAGAGAGAGGAAGAGAGAGGGAGCGTGGAGCCGGCCACGCGGATTTTCCATTGACGGTTCGCACCACAAGGCAACGGATCACCACCCACACCACCCCCACCACCCTCACCACCCCCACCCACCTCCACCGCCACCTCTGTCCATCCAGCAACAGAGTAAACGCAATCAACCACTGTCAGGTCGCGCGTGGTCGGGGCACAGTGTGAGTTAACATCTCTACACGGTGCCGAGATGTTAACTACCTCGCCTGGTGTACAGGAGGTCGTGGAGTTTGCATGTTCTCCCCGTGGTCGCGTGGATTTTTCTCCAGGTCCTCCGTTTCCCCCCCCCACCTACCACATTTAGAATGAACGTCGTGCGTGTGGAGTGTTTTTAGCAACTGCTGTGAATGTCCACGCGGCGATGGCAAGCCCGTTACTTCGCTGAGCTATCATTTGCGATGGCGAGGCGGTCGCTTCGGGAAAAAAGAGGCGCGCAGCTCTGCGGGGCCTCTCCTGGCACCAAAGGAGCCTAGACAGACCGAAGGGAGTGGGTCTCAGCCTTCGCACGTCAAGGGTTCAACAAGTGACGCCACCACATCGATGACGCCCCTACTGAAGGAAGGAAACAGGAGGATGTCGCCACGCATCTGCCCGTCACTTGACGACGATGCCGGTTGTAATTACCGGCGAAACGTCGTACTCAGATTGTAAATGTTGCGGGTTTGCTCTCCAACACGAACGGTGTGCTGTACGAGTAACGAATTGTTTACGTGACAAAAACCTTTCTAATTGCCGTGTCGGGCGGTGGCGGGTTTAACGACACAAAAAAACCTGTATTATGGATGATATTGGTCGCGAAAGCCTACTTACGTGTTAAACCTTGTTGAACTTATTGAACCTCATTCGCATCGCACGTAGCCAACCGCGCTAACCGGAGGTGCGGTATTATGGGTCTCAGCAGATGCAACTCTCTCATGAAATAATGGTGGGGGGAGTGGGGGGGGGGGGCTTCTGCACAACCGACCAATGTATGCTTGGTCAGGAGAAGTAAACCGCGTGGATTCTCTCCTACGATGCCTCGCAGCAACCACAATGGCACTACGTCAAGATCCGTGCAATGCCAACACCAGAAGCGGTGGGGCATGTGCAGAATTTCGGGGGGTGGGGGGGGGGGTGGAAAGAGGCGCTATGGGTTGCGACAGGAGACACGAAGAAGAAGAAGACCTGGTGAAATAAAACAAAATGTTGTTTAGTTTTACTCTCGCTTCCAAGACTCTCCGGCAGCGAGCGACGTCGCGCCACGCCCCTCACCTAGCGCGGCGGCGGCGGTGGCGGCGGCGGCGGCGGCGGTGGCGGCGGTGGTGGCGGCGGTCATGGGAAGCTCCACGGTCTCGTACTCGCCCTCCGTGGTGGAGTAGGAGGCGAGGGCGACCCTGTGCGCCGCCGCGGGGTCGTGCCCCGGCGGCTTGGGGTTGCCGAGCGGCGTGTTGGGCGGCGTCATGAGGCACGAGGGGTCCAGCGGGAGGCTCTTGGGCACCGGCGGTGCGGACGGCGCCTCCTGCTTGTCCGCGGCGCGGACGGGGAAACGAAACAGCGGCGGCGGTTAGCGGGGCGCATCGGCCAAGCGTTGGCGTCGCAGCTGTTGTTCTCTCGCTCGTTCGTTCGTTCATTCGTTCGTTCGTTCGCTCATTCGTTCGCTCATTTGTTCATTTGCTCACCCAGAGCATGTTTGTTTGCATGCTTTGCCACAAGTATGTGTGGGTAACGCAGACTTGATGCCTTGTAAAAGGTATCTATGTGGTGTTTGAACATCTTAACACAACTTCTGTTGTATTTCCAGAAAGGGTTAAAACCTATTCCAATATTTCACACACCGGTTAGTCCTGAACTAGTGACTAATTGGCACGTTTTGTTCACGTGACAAGCCTTACGAATCGGCCACGTCGGGTGGTGTAGGGGTTTAACGACACATTCGTATTGACGCGATCGAACCCGATTGAGATTGGTCTCGAAAGCCTACCCACTACTACTCCTACTACTACCACTACCACTCCGTGTTAAAACAGAAGAGGTAGCGACGGCGAGAGTTTAACCCTTACAGAGACACATCCGCGATCAGCGTGCCATGTCACCTTGCGCATCATGCTCTGTATCTCCAAGTGCTGGAGTCTCTGCGTGAGCTCTGCCTGGCGCAAGCTCAGCACGTCCCCGCCGTGTGTCCCCACGGTGGAGCTCCGTGCCTGGCCCACCTCTCCGCCGGAGCCCTTCCTCGCGGCGCTGAGGCTCCTACTGTTTGACCCCAGCTCCACATTGAGAACGTCCGTCTTAACCCTGGAAGCGGAGCTCCGCCGGGGGCCCGCCTCCGCGTCGGGGCCCTCTCCCACGACGGCTCCCTCGCTGCCGCCGCCGCGTTCCTTCAGGCCCAGCTCCACGCCAAGGACCTCGGAGCGGACCCGCGAAGACGCGGAGCTCCGCCTCTGGCCCAGCTCCGCGTTCGAGCCGGCCTTCGCCGCCGTCGTTGGCCCCGTCATTGACCTCCTCCTCTGGCCGATTTCCAAGTTGAGAACCTCCGTCTTGACCCGGGACGTCGCGGAGCTCCGTCTGTGGACCGCGTCCTGCGTCGTCGTCGTCGCTGCTGCCCCACCGGTCTTGGTGGGGCTCCCCTCCCGGCCCGGGTTGCCCTCCACTCCACCACGGCCACCACCCCCTCCGCCGGATCCCAGGGCATGACCGTTCTCGCAGCCGGTGCTCGCGCCGCGGTCCTGTGGCGGAGCGGAGAGCTGCTCCGCCGTGCGGCTCCTCGCCCGCTCCTCCTCGCCGTGGTTTTCCGCCTGCGGCCGCCCAGCACGCAATGCCGGCGCGGTTACTGGCGTGCAGAGACGGGCGCGCGCAGCGGTGGAACGACCGCATTCTGAATATGGAATAATAATGTTTACTCATGCTGGCGAGCGCGTCGCGTCACGGCCGGTGAACGAGATTTCGTGCTCGCGAAACGTCGCGCAAATTTCACGTGGGGTCGCCCTTAAAAATGTGGTGCTGGCGAAGCGGTGATCTGTCGGCCACGCTCGTTCATCACGTGACAACTCTATTAACCCTTTCCGATGATGTACACACACACATGTACGCACGTGCATGCACGTCATCAGATGGGAATCGGAAGTCAAAGGCCACGTGGGAGGGCGCACGGCACGGTCTGGCGCCAGCTATCGTAGAGAGCGGCGGTCATGTCGCTATTGTTCCCTGCGGTGAGTAACGACGTCTTTAAACACAATGGCGCTGTTAGGCCGCTATAAATAAAATTAATTCTGAGCCGCTCGCGCATTCCAAGATCTCTCAGAAAGGGTTAATTTGCCATGGCGGTAGTGGCGATGGCTGCGGCGGTGTTGCCGGACGTACCTCTCCGGCCGACGCGGCCACCCCTCTTCCCTCTTCCCCGTCGGCGGTGCCTGGCTCGGCTACCGATGCTGCCGGCGCCACGGCACCCTCCCCGAGGCCGCTGAGCTTGCGCAGCATCTGCCGTAGCTGCCGGAGGTTGTGGGCAAAGTCCAGGCTGGGCGCCGGGCCCTCGGGGTCCACGCGGAACCCCGTGCTCGGCAGCACGAGTGGCGGGTGGTTCTCGAAGCTCTCCAGCACGTCTGCAGCGGAGGGGGGGGGGGGGGTGGACGACGACGCTGACGACAAAGCGGCATTGGAATCGGGGACACAGGGAAGTGGAAACCCAGCAAATGGACTGTGTTGGGGTAATGGGAATAACACTATTCATATAGAAATATTCTAATTAGTTATATTACCTTATATCCACAGGGAAGTTCAACATTTGTAGAACCCTGTCTCTTCATCTTTAAGCCCCACCACCTTACTCCTTAGGACCTACCCCCTTCCTGCTTAGGCCCCACCCTTTTCCTGATTAGGACCACCCATTCCTGTGCAGCCCCCACCCCCTTCCTGCTTAGACCCCACCCCTTCCTGCGTAGGCCCCGCCCCTTACCGACAATGCCCCACCCCATTCCTAATTAGGACCCACTTCTTCCTTTGTAGGCCACGCCCTTTCCGGCTTAGCCCCCACCCTTTCCTACAAAGGCCTGACCCCTTACCGATTAGGCCCCACCCCCATCCTGGTTAGGCCCTACCCCTTCCTGCTTAACCCCCACCCTTTCCTGCTTGGGCCCCACCCCCTTACTGGTGAGGCCCCATTGTCCATTCCTATTTCGGATCTGCCCCTTTTCTCTTGAGCTACAGTACCCTATGAATATTTATGATAGGAGTTACACCGAATGTATTTACTTAATGTTTGTCATATCATTCATGTAGAGGGGGGGGGGCCCTATTTACAAAGCTTGGGAATTTGGAACCATGCCCCTTTTCTCATGGCAGTGGCGACGGATGGCGGTGGCGGTGGGTTTCTAGTTTGGCACGCGGCTCACGGAACTCGGCGTCCGGAACTCAACGGCGCGACGCGGATGCGTGGCTGGGAACCCTGTGGCCTAGGCACCGGTGCGGAGCGCCGACTGGCTGTCGTCCGGGTCCGGCTGCCACGTGGCCGGGTGGCTCTTGCCGGCGCCCAGCTGGTACTCGCGCAGCAGGTGGTGCAGCTGGGCCGTGTTGAGTGCCGGGAAGTCGGAGCGCAGGGACCGCCAGCTTGCCTGCACGCGGCGGACGGAATAGACGCAGGACCGGCGGTCAGACGTCGCGATAATGCGGCGAACATGGAGAGAGGTGAAGGTGGGGTTAGGAGATGTCAACTCCCTCGCCTGGTATGCAGGAGATCGTGGATTCGATGGCGACCGTGACGCCTGCCGTATATATGTGGAGTTTGCGTGTCTTTCTCTCTCGCCGTGGTCGCGTGGATTTTTCTCCGGGTCTTGCGGTTTTTCCCTCCGCATTTGGAATTAACGTGCATTTAGCGTAATTTCGCTGCTGTAGATTTCCACACGATGACAAGCCACTTCATTAGTGATAGCCGGGTCACTTCTGATATAGAGCTGCATAGCTCAGTGGGGCCTTACCTGGTAAAATCAACATCTTTTTCATAGTCTTTATTTTAAGTTTGCGACCCTGAAATTTCCATCGCGTGCCCGAGTCAGTGCTTTGTCGCAGAGGTTCGCAGTTCGAATCCGGCAGGCCGCCTTGGTTTAATGCTTCGGTGTGTGAATTAACCCGTAGAATGCTGCTCGGCGTTCTGCTTAGAAAGTGTGGAACGTTAAAGACGACCCGGAGGCCCTGTCACGGTACCAAATTTGAAGGGGAAAAAAATTCCCTGCAAATGACTCAATTGGGATAATGGCGTTCCCTCATCATTCACGAGCGCTACAATCCGGGGATGCTCGTGAAGAGCAAATTCGCAGATAATGATATTTTTAATGAATTGCCTTAAATAAATATGTATACAAGATATTAAATACGTCAACATTGTCAACTCACAGCTCTTTGTCTCATCACTTTATCTCTCATCACTTTATCTCTAATCACTTTATCTCTAATCACTTTATCTCTCTCATCGCTTTATCTCTCATCACTTTATCTCTCATCACTTTATATCTCTCATCACTTTATCTCTCTTCACTTTATCTCTCATCACTTTATCTCTCATCACTTTATCTCTCATCACTTTATCTCTCATCACTTTATCTCTCATCACTTTATCTCTCATCACTTTACCTCATCGCTTGATCTCTCATCACTTTATCTCTCATCACTTTATCTCTCATCACTTTATCTCTCATCACTTTATCTCTCTTCACTTTATCTGTCATCACTTTATCTCTCATCACTTTATCTCTCATCACTTTATCTCTCATCACTTTACCTCATCGCTTTATCTCTCATCACTTTATCTCTCATCACTTTATATCTCTCATCACTTTATCTCTCATCACTCTCTCTCTCTCTCATCATGTTATCTAACCCCTTTATCCAGATGCGATTAGCAAAAAGCCATAATCGTGGATAGCAAAGTTTGTGGATAGCGAGGGAATATTGTATGTTTGTTGAACTTTTTCCCATCGTACGTAGCCAACCGCGCCAATGGGAGAGGTGGGGGAAGGGGAGGGGCTGCTTCGGGGAAAAATAAGTGAATACCTCAGTGGGCTTTACATCGTAAGATATAAAAAAGATGTATTTTATTTGTGTATATATTTTAAAGTGATTTGTTTACCTTTCCTATATTTTGCACTCCTATCATGTTTTTTTGTATTGTTGTAACGTTCTGACCCCGGTGCACCGACTGGAAATCTTCGAAAAAGAGCTTTACAGCTTATCGGATTTCCTCCTCCGATGTGAGCCCCTCCCCCCCGCCTCCGCCCCCACCACAAGTTTGCTAAGCTGTAATCGTATTCTGTATTTTATTGTGTTTTTGTATCTTCCCAGGTAAGACCTTCACTGAGCTCCATATAGTTCATCGGAGGGGGGGGGGGGGGGGAGCAACCCCCCCCCCCACCGGCCTGCCTTTCGCCACCCTACCCGCCGATGGCCACCCACTTCAGGCCAGTCCTGGCCCCCCCCCCCTCCCCGTCACCTGCAGGAGGTTGAGCTTCGGCGTGGCCAGCAGGTCGGCGGTGCTCGAAAGCTTGTGGAAGTACTGCGTGGCTAGCTCGCCCAGCCCCTGCTCCTGCAGCCACTCGAGCAGCAGGTCCAGGTTGGCGCGCAGCTGCACCCCCCGTGACCAGTGGTAGAACCCGCCCCCGCAGCCTGCGTGGCGCAGTCCAACCGGGCGTTTGGGGGGGGGGGGGAGGGGAACGACGCGCGCGCTTGTGTCAAACTCAGAGATGCGTAGAGGCAACGCAGAGATACAGAGAGACGCCTAGAGAGGTACATTAGAGACACGAGCCAAAGGAGTGCGATCGTGGCTACGCAACCCAAACTATGGACCACGCACAGTAGACCCACTGCGGTTTGCGCGCTCCTTCAACTGTGGATGAGGAACAGCGGACACAACACGAACTCTCTCCGTGTGTCTCTGCTGAAGTCCTCTCGTCGTGGCGAGCAGCGGCGGCGGCGGCGGCTTTTGGCTCGGCCCGTCGAACAAAGACGGTGGTCATCGCGCGGCGCTTTCAGGCGCGCTTCTGCGGCCGTCTGGAACGCCCTCTCCCTTCCGATATTGGGAATCCGCCGGGAGCTGTGCGCTTAGAAATCGTCATCTAAATTGACAAACTCATTTCTTTAGAATTGCTTGTTGTCGTCTTGTTTGGTTTGTTGTCCTTTGCCCCGCGCCTCCGATTTTACGATGTAAAACCCACCGAGGTATTAACTTATGTTTCCCCGAAGCTACATTGGCCACAAATAATAGCTCAACAAATGGGACACGTGGTCAGAAATTATCCCCCGCCCCCCCGCCCCCCGTCCTTCCGAAAGAACTTCCACATCCATACGTACGCGCATCGGCAATCGACAAGAACAACAAACGCGGAGCACCACGGACGGTGTCGGCCCGCCGCCCACCGCCGCCGGCGAAATACCTCGCTCCATGAGCGTGTTGAAGAGCGACGCGTTGGAGAAGAAGAACAGGTAGGAGAAGAGCTGTGCAGCGACGTCCGCGTGCACGGCGCAGGCCGCCAGCAGCTCCCGCGTCGCCGTGTAGATGGCGACGACGCGGCGCACGCCGGCCGACAGCCGCAGGTGCCCGTCGACGGCGGTGGCCGCGTCGTGCCCGCACGCGAATGGGTTGCTGTCCAAGAGGCCCGGCAGCGCCGCGTACAGAGCCTGGGCGGACGGACAACGGCGAGGAGGGAAAGGGGTCAAAACTTGGGTCCGAGCGAGAGGCTCGGCCGGGGATGGGCGGGGTGGGTGGGTGAGGAGGAGGCACCGGCAGGGCCCGATTTCAAGATTCTTGGTGGCCCGAGGCTCTTCTGTTTCGTTTGGCCATCGGTGATGACTCTCGACAGTTGGTTACTGCTGCCCCAGTGTTGCTTAGTGGCTGTCGCTCGCTAAAGCTGATAATAAGAACAACAACAACAACAACCACAGGAAAACAACAACGCCACCTTTGTCTTCACCTTGCACTACCACGCTCTGTTGAGAATGAGATTGTGCGAACAGCACCACTTAAGAGATGTTTATTGGCTAAATTGGCAATGAAAAAAATATATATCTCAAAGTTCATCTCAGGTGTTAATTTCTCTCTCACCTTAGGAAGAAAAAACACGACGGACATTGACATGACTCTGCCTAGCTTTGTGATATACATTTTTTTTTATTTCAAGCTTTCGTGACTGCAGTAATTCATATTCTTAGCTCTTTCGGTAAAGTCACGTTGAAGGGAAACAACAAAATAATAAAATATATAAAACAATAAAAATTCTCACGACGTTTCGACCATGCTCGAAACGTCGACCATGGACGAAACGTCGTGATAATTTTTATTGTTTTATATATATTTTATTATTTTGTTGTTTCCCTTCAACGTGACTTTACCGAAAGAGCTAAGAATATACATTGATTTATTTTTATTCAAGAAGATATCATGCTTACATTATTTATTTAGCGAATGACATTTCACGCGACTTCCCCCCAGTCACAACACCAGATACATTTACAAAATATGATGCAAACAAATATAAAACATCGTGAACAAATATTTTCGTGGGCCCTTTTAGTTTTTGTAGGCCCTAGACACAGTGCCTACTGTGGGCTGTTGGATAATACGGCCCTGGTCAGTGGGTGGGTGAGTGAGTGAGTGGGTGAGTGGGTGGGTGGGTGAGTGAGTGAGTGGGTGAGTGAGTGGGTGGGTGGGTGAGTGAGTGGGTGGGTGAGTGAGTGGGTGGGTGAGTGAGTGGGTGGGTCGGTGGGTGAATGGGCGGGTGAGTGGGTGAGTGGGTGGGTGGATGAGAGGATGGGTGAGTTAGTGGGTGGGTGAGTGAGTGGGTGGGTGGGTGAGAGGATGGGTGAGTTAGTGGGTGGGTAAGTGGGTGGGTAAGTGGGTGGGTGAGTTAGTGGGCCCGAGTCACCGTGCCTACTGTGGGCTGTTGGATAATACGGCCCTGGGCACCGGTGGGACGAGGCTCATTGTCTCTATCGCGCGCGAGTGAGTGAGCGAGTGAGTGAGCGAGCGGCGACTCGCCAAGAGGAGGAAAGCGTAGCGGAGTTCAAGGATAAACCGGCGACGAGATATCGGGAGCGGGAAAACGTGGAAATTAAAAAGCAAAACAACACGAATGGAGAAATTGGAGCAAATAAGAAAGCAAACCGCGTTCCTGACGGAATCTAAATCGGGGCACACGACAGCAGGGCAGCGGTTGAACTTCTTTCGCACCGTACGTAGCCAACCGCGCTAATCGGAGTGTATATTAGTGTAGTGCGTAATGTATAGTTGTGCGCGCGTTGAACTTCTTTCGCACCGTACGTAGCCAACCATACCAATCAGAGGTGCGGGAGTGGAGGTGTGAAAAGTGGCGAGGAATTGAGAGTCCGGCGTTCAGGGGGCTTCAGACGGCCGTCGTAAACGCCGTGGGGCGTCTTCAAGCGCCGCGCCACGCGCGTGGAACTGTGTTGCAGTGGCATAGCGCCGGCTGCTGGCGGGAAAAGGGATCTGCGGCGTACGGCAGTCCTGAGGTCGGCAGTAGGCCTCAGCAAAGGGAAGGTAATTTACCCTTTATGCCGGGTAAAAGGGTAATTGGTAAAGTTGTCGACATGCCAAGGGGTAAGGTAAAGGGTAGGGTAAAGGTAGCGCGAAGTATTACACGGTAAACACCTTAAATTTTGATTTAAAGCTTTCGTGACTGCAGTAATTCATATTCTTAGTTTTTTCGGTAAAGTCACGTTGAAGAGAAACAACAAAATAACAAAATATATATAAAACAATAAAAAATTCTCACGACGTTTCGACCATAACTCAAACGGTCATCATCAGGTGTGTCGGTTTGCATAAATTTATTTTGAAAACGGCATATTTATTTATTTATATATATATATAAAAATAACGTTTGCGTCACGCGCAACGATTGGCAGTTTGCCCAGGACTAGTCCATCTATTTTTTGAAAAGAGGAGGGGGGAGACGAAATTTGTTTTATGTATGCTGTCTGAAAGCCACTGTAAGCGTGAACAATCAATCAAGAACTGAAATGATTTATCAAATCTTTCCAATGATTGCTAAGATAGAATCCATCTTCTCGGTTGAAATTGTCTCTGTGTTTGTATATGTGGATAGCCTCATGAACGAATCTCTCATGGAAGCCAGATGGCTTACAAAGAACCTCCGTCTTGGAAAAGTCAATGGCATGTGAGCCTACTGAATTAGAACAATGATCTGCTACGGCCGAGGTGTTGGTTCTACCGTGTTTAAGGTCTGCTTTATGTTCACGAATGCGGTCCGAGATATGGCGTTTGGTTTCTCCAATGTAACTACTACCACAGAGGCAACTTAGTTTGTAGACACCAGGGTATTGTATGTCCGGAATCACATCTTTTACAGACGGAACCAGATCACGGATTTTATGTAATGTGTTGAAACGGACCTGGATCTTGTGTTTATTCAAGATTTTGGAGATCTTTTTTGTGATCCCAGCAATGTAGGGTAAAGTGATGGTTTTGAAAGGCTCCTCAAGAGGGTTCTTCTTCATGGTTTGAGTGATAGCTTTGCGGATTGTATAGTCGGAGTAACCATTAGCCCTAAGAGCTTGGTGTACGTGCTTGAGTTCACTGCTTATGTGTTCCTGGTCGGATATGCATTGGGCTCTATGATACAGAGTCTTGATGAGAGAATTCTTCTGTGATGGATGGTGGTGGGAATCCGGTTTCAGATAAGCATCCGTATGGGTAGCTTTCCTGTAGACAGAGTGGCTCATTGAACCATCAGGTCTCTTTTTAATTAGGACATCCAAAAAAGGTATCTTGCCATCTATTTCGACTTCCATGGTAAATCTGATGGCTGGGTGTATGGAATTGATGTGGTCGAAGAATTGGTCTAGAGCAGGCCGGCCATGTGGCCAGATGACAAAAGTGTCATCCACGTACCTCTTCCATAAGGTTGGGCGCAGAGTGGCAGTCTGGATGGCGTCAGTCTCAAATTTCTCCATGAAAATGTTAGCTATAACTGGAGAAAGGGGGGAGCCCATTGGGGTGCCCTCAGTTTGTTTGTAGAAAGTTCCATTCCAAGTGAAGTATGTATTGGTTAAACAGTGTCTCACCAGGGGGGGTACCTCAGTGTTTAGTCCTTGATGAACCAAGTCTTCAATGATTGCAATGGTGTCAGGTACAGGAACCTTGGTGAATAAGGAAACTACATCAAAACTGACAAGCAGGTCGTCTGGGGACAGGGAAATACCCTTGATTGTTGATACCAGGTGAGTAGAATTTTGTACCGCAGAGGTGGTCTTTCCAGTGAAAGGACGCAGGATTTCAGACAAAAAACGAGCTAGTTTGTAGGTGGGGGAGCTGATAGTAGAGACTATGGGACGAAGAGGTGTATCAACTTTATGTATTTTTGGTAAGCCGTATAATCTTGGTGGCCTGGCAGCAGAAGGTTTCAACGAAAACTGTTTAGATTGATCAATTAATGCGGTTGAATCAGAAATTATTTTGTTGGTTTGTGTGACGAGGCTGTTGGTGGGATCTCTTTTTATTTTTGTATAACTACCATCGTCGAGTAATTCTTTAATTTTGTTGTTGTATTCTATTTTATCCATGATGACAGTAGCATTGCCTTTGTCAGCTGAGAGAACTACAATATCATTCCTCTTTTTTAATTTATATAATTCAAAACGCTCATCTTTGCTGAGGTTGCTAGCTGGCATCTTAGCGTTTTTGAGGGTTGCAGCGATTTCAGATCTTGCTACGTCTGCAGCGATGTGACCCAGGCCCCTGAGAGCAACGTCTACTTGGGCAATTATATCATTAACTGGTATGTGTTTAGGTGTGACTGCAAAGTTTAGACCTTTAGCTAAAACGGATTTCAGACCATCGGAAATAGAACTGTTACTGCGATTAATTACGACTTTATTAACGTCTAACTTTTTGGTGTGTGGGTCCGGTCTTTTGTTGAAGAGGAGGTTAAATTTGGAAATCAGGTTTTCCTTACATTTGGTCGACATAGTAGCAGCTGAAGAGGCAGTCATATTGTCTACATGTTCCCAATCCGATGTGGAAATTATTGCCGTCAATGATAAGTGTGATTTGTAGAGTGTCTTGTCTAACTGATCTAGTTCTGTGCATATAAGTCTGATTTTTTCTGAGATAAGAGCTAAGCTAGTTTTGAAAAGAATTCGTTTCGCATTAGAAGAAGTTACAGTAGCAGAGGTGAGTGTAAATGCGATTGGTATTACCCCAGAGTCGCGGCATCTCTTCAGGAAGGTGAGAGACTCGATCAGCTGAGCTTTCTTATCCCGGAGTTTGTTGAAGGATCTTAAAGTTATGTGAAAACCCTCCCCGTAGAGGCGATTAAATTTTGATTTAAAGCTTTCGTGACTGCAGTAATTCATATTCTTAGTTTTTTCGGTAAAGTCACGTTGAAGAGAAACAACAAAATAACAAAATATATATAAAACAATAAAAAAATTCTCACGACGTTTCGACCATAACTCAAACGGTCATCATCAGGTGTGTCGGTTTGCATAAATTTATTTTGAAAACGGCATATTTATTTATTTATATATATAAAAAAATAACGTTTGCGTCACGCGCAACGATTGGCAGTTTGCCCAGGACTAGTCCATCTATTTTTTGAAAAGAGGAGGGGGGAGACGAAATTTGTTTTTATGTATGCTGT